GATGCTCAAGACCGTTGCAGGGAAGAGGATAGATGTCTGCGTGCGAGGACGTGACGGGGCCCGCCTGCCGAAGAGCGTGCACTTGTGAATTCGGGCCAGGTGCCAAGGGAGACGCCGAGCTGGGCTGGGCGGCCAGATCAGCCAGCTCGGGGCGAGCGCCTCCTGCAGACGTAGTCATGTGTCCGCGGACCCCGATCCCTTGTTATTGGGGTCGGCGGCCCGCTTCCGCTCGGCGTCCTTCTCTTCGCGGAGCAGGCGGCCATGCTTCGCGATGGTAGCTTGGTCCTTCTGGCGGTCCGCGACCCGCTGGGAGAACGCCGCCGTCGTGGCAGCTCCGCCCTCGTCGGTGGGCGCGCTCATCAGGACGTCCAACCCAGTGAAGTCGGGAACCTTGGGGTTGCGGCGGACCGCCGCCTCGATCTGCACGAGGCGGCGGAACAGGAGCTCCGTGCTGGCCAGCATCGAGACGTCGAGCTGGTCGAACTGCACCTCCCAGCGGAGCACCTCGGAGAGGAAGAAGTGCTCGCGGGCCGCGGCGCCGTTGACGTTGACACCCGGCTTCCTGGACCACTCGTGGCGGTGAGAAGTGAGCGACTGGCCCTGGGCCCGCAAGCTCTGCAAGAACTCGACGGCAACCCGAGGCCCCGCGAAAGGGACGTGCTCGATCTTCGTATTCTCGAAGCGAGTCAAGGCGCCCTCCTCCGAGATGTAGGACACTCCACGACGATCGCAAACCGCGCCAGTCACGCGAGGGTCGCGGCCGAAGGCCGTGACCTTGTCGAGCCGCCAGATCTCCTCATGCCCCGCCTCGACCGCCTCGGCGTGGACCCAGTGGCCGTCGACCACCGCTAGGCCGCTCGGCCCCCGGGCGACGAAGCAGGCAGGATCGGCGATCGCCGCCTCGGGCACCGCGGGCGCGAAGGCCGCATGTGCCAGGTCCGCGATCCGCCAGACTGCGTCGGGGGCCGTGCTGCCGATGGAGGTGGTGCCGCGCACCGCCGCCAGCATGCGTCCTCGCCTCACGAACTCGGCGAGCTCGGCCGCCGTGATGGGATCGAAGATGAAGCACTCGTCTCGATACGGCGCTGGAATGATCTCATTCCGATCCAGGGGCAGCGCGCGGTGCAGGCCGAGGTTCAGCACCTGCACGGAGCCAGTGGGCGTCAAGGCCGTCCACATCCCCTTGCCGTCGGTCTGCAAGAGGAGGTGATGGTGCCAGAAGAACCCGTTGGGGTCGTCAAAGAAATCTATCAGCACCTGGGGGTTGGGCACGTCCACTGCCCGTGGCACGCCGGCGGCGCCTGCCGCCGCGCGCGCCATCGCGCGGGGCTAGGGCTGGCCCCGAGGGCCAGCGGCGACGCGGGGCCCGTGTAGGCGCCCGGCCGCAGGTGCGTCCCCGCGGGGGAGCGGGCCCGAGGACGCGGCTCGCAGCAGCCGCGGCTGACCACCCCGAGCGCGAAGCCCACGAGCAGCAGGAGCCCCGCCAGGCCGACCCAGGCAGCTGGCGGCAGCAGCGCGCAGAAAGGCGGAGTCCCCGCCGTGCAAGTGGTCGTCGCAGGGGCTGGGCTCGGCGGAGCGCTGAGGGCGCCCAGGCAGCGGTCCAGCGCCAGCTCCAGGCCTGGCGCGTCGGCGCCGCTGTGAGGCGCTGTCCCCGCGGCCGCGCTGGCGGCCACCTCGCGGCGGCAGAGGCACTCGGGCGGAGGGATATCGAAGGCGCGGGCACAGTGAGATGCCCAGGTCGCAACGAGGTTCGCCGCGCCCAACCAGCCGCCGAAGTCCATTCGGGCGGCTTGATCCCACATGACTATGACGATGCAAGCGACCCATCGTATGCCTCCCCGCTCCCGTTTCTGGCTAGCAAAGGTAACAACATCAAGATTGGCAAGAAGAACATGAGACCGGAAGAAGTCGAATTGAAAACTTGGCACCGTGAAGAAAAAAAAAAGACGGTGATGAGGAGAGAAAGACAACACAAAATCATCGCCAAACTATGGATTCCCGTTATCGTCGGCAAGACTTTGTCCAATTCAAACGTCGCCGTAATATTTGCATTAGTTTCAAATTTGCATTCTTGCAACGGTGGGGCTTGTTACTGAAACGGTAAGATTTGATTTTGACGCGGTGGGGGTGGCGTTTGGTACTGACACCGAACAGATGTTTATTTAAACGGTGGTACTGGAAAAATAGAACACATTATTGAACGGGCTGGAGGAAATTACGAAGGGGAATTTGTATCAAAGCGGTGGGGGATGATATGGAAACGGTAGGAAGAATTATTAAAATTACGGCGGTGAATTTAAGATTCAAGCGGTGTGGTTTGTTATTGAAGCGGTATTATTATTATCTAATCGCTGGAATATTATTGAAACCGCGGTTTTCAAGGAAATCTTGGTGCACCGCGTTCCTACGAGGTCCCCGCTAAGTGAGTTCCCCTTCCGTCCTGGACCACTAATTTGGAACTTCTGACCAAACAATTCCTGCCCAAAACTATCGGCATCGCCAACCAAGGCTCCCACGAGGCCTCTCTATTTTTGTTCCCGGGCCTAGCAACCCGACAATTTTCATCTCAGAACCTGGCGACAAGGGGGAGCTGATGGCGGCAACATAAGTACATAACCGCCAGACCGGCACCCATGCTCAGTGTTCCTGAGACGCTAAAAAGCCTTCTGGATGCAAATAACGTTTAAAGAATATCACACAACAGTGCGGTTAGCGAGGCTGACCAGAACCAAGTCAAATATCTTCAAAATTGGCCCCGTGGCTAGACATTCTGCCACGTCGTACCCTATCTTCCAATATCCTTCCGCTGGACCCACGTCCAGTCTGCCGCCACGTTGTGTCAGACAACTTGCATGGCGAAGGCGTTTTTGCTTAGCTCAATTTGCGTGGCTCGGAAATTTGCCAAGGTTGTCAGGGAAGGGCCCGGCGGGATATGTTAGGCGAAGTTATGGTTTGATCAAATCGTTAAAGTGTTTTCAGTAGTTGGGGCCCGGCGCGCGTGTCCGAGCCAGGCGAGGCCGCCGCCCTGCCCGCGGAACGCGGGGCTTGCGAGGACGAGCAGCTCTTCTCGGCGACGCGGGGCGACGCCATCCTCGACAGCGCGGGCGAGCTCAACTCAAAAGGGCGCGAACAAATAGCGCTGAAGGCAGCCCTCCTCGAGGCGCGGGCCAAGGTCACTTCACATTCTGACGACGCGAAGGCCAGGCTGGGGTCGGAGCGCCGCGTCGAAAGTGATGAGGGTGCCCCAGCGGCGACGGCGAACGGCGCCGGCAGGCCCCCCTCAACTCGACAGAACGAGCCCCAGGAGGCGACCAAGCGTCACGCCGCGATCCGCGCCGAGGCAGCCGCGCCAATTTCGACGCAGAGGAGAATGCAGAGGCGGCGAATGCAGGCGCGGCTCCTGCAGTTCTTGGCTATTTATAAAAAAAACTTGGGGCGAGTCGGTGGCCGCCGTCCCTGCTAGAGGTAGCGACTCGCTCGAGTAGGCTGAAGATGTGGCGCCTTTTCTGAACGGTTGCCTAGAGTTCCAACTCCTGCAGACCACGACGCTCGGAGTGGGGGGCGCTCCGGCTGCTCGGTGGGCGATGGCGCCGCTGATCCAGCTCTTGTTCCTGATCAGCCTGGCGCCCCCGATTTCCGTTCTATCTTTCCCCCGTGACTTCTCGACGACGGGGCCCCAGGCATGGGTTTCTTGCAGCACGCCGCCCAGCAGCGCGACTTCGCCGGGTTCGTTGAGACCCATGTCCGAGCCAATGCAGACTTCACGGAATGGGAGCGCGACCCCAGACGGGAAGGGGGGAAGCCCACGGGCAACGGCGATCGCGCCGACCTTTTGTCTGGCAGGAAAGGCGCCGAGGGCGGCGAACGGCAGCTCGCAAGACCACGTATCAGCCCAGGCGCCGCTTGCCCATCGCCCGGCGCAAGACCCAAGCGACGTCAACATGGATTCGTCGTTGGCGTTCGCGGTCGAGCGCCGCGAGCCCCCGCCGTTGCGACTTGCGCCGCCGGGTGGTGAGCTGGGTCGTGCGCGTGCGCTTCGTTCGAGCACTCGACCGACGCCGTCTGCAAAATATTCATCACTTCCCAAGTTTGAAATTACGATTAAGCACAAAAACTTTCACGGTAATTGTTTTCGTAAGGCCGAGATCTAATGCTTGTCATGTAATAATGGAAGTGGTGGACAACACTGCTTAGCCCGCGCCCCGCGGAGAAAGAGAGGGCAATGCTGGGGCAAGGGAATTTGCGAGCCCGCGCCAGTAAGTTGGATCGCATGCAGCGGTGTGCATTACCGCGTCTCGCGTCTCGAGTCACAGAGGCCACTTGAAATTTGCTAAGAAGTTGCGGGTGGGTGGTTGGCTGGAATGTTCGTTCGGGCATTTACTTTCGTTGGCATGTCCAACTATTCCAACATTAACTTCACCCCGTAAGTTGCACTGAATATCCGGCATCGTGCCGCAGGCACTGAGTGGGGTGTTCCAGGTACTCACTATTCCATAATCTCGAGTCGTGCGTATCGAATATTGTGTTGTTCTTTATGTCGCCACCCGTAGTCCAAGACCATCTTGCGCGCTGCTGGGATGTTTCTCTTTGCAGCCTATCTTGGAAGTCTTTTGGGCTGTTTCGACTGCCCTGGATCTGGCCCGAGAGGCCCAAACCAGCCAAACCTTTTTTGTAATGTAAACTTTCCGACGCTGTCCTTGATGGTATGAAAGCGTCGAAGACGGCCTATCAAGCCTCCGATGTATCGTTCCAGGACAGACCACTCGGGTCCAAAAAGGGGAACTCGAAGGGGCTCAGAGAGCCCCTCTCCTAAGATGGCTCCAACAGTCTCCAAGACTTTCGCTAGACTCTATAGGACCCGCATTTGCCCCCAAGAGAAATTACAACGGGGGAAGAACGAGGAGGGAGGAGGGGCAGGAGGAACTCATCATGAGGCGTGCACTTTATGCTGGCATTCGCATCAACACCGGGCTACACAACATGATTGGAAACATACTTTTCTGCACACTAGATTCCCCTTCCCCCGCGGAGCGGAGCAGGTTGAGGGAGCGAGATGATTCTGGAGGGGGCGACGAGGGGTCGTGCACCATCAGCTGAGACTTTCCAGGTCGGCTACCGCGCTTTGCGGTGCCAGCCACGCGGTGATCTTCGCCTCTGAGGTTGAGGAGAGAGTAAGATAGAGGAGTTCGGAGAGGGAGGCGGAGGGAGGAGGCGGAGGAGTGAGACGTACGTGCTGCGCTTACCTTGGCAACCTCGAAGCTGACCCAGACCCTCTTCCCGATGGTGCCGACCCCCAGAGGTGGGCAGAACCACTCCGTCGTGGCGCTGCTGTCTTTCGAATCGCGGATGGCGTCACCGACACGCCACTCTCGCGCGGTCCACCGCGTGATGATATAACAACCTACACCTGCTTCACGTGATACTTGATGCAGGGGTGTGTCACTCTTGACATGACCATAGGCTGGCCGTAGTCGTGCATCAAACCAGAACATCACGCACGCAGTTCTGGTGAGGACCAAATGGATGCGGAATTCAATGCCTGGCTCGCGTTTGGACAGGATGTTATGGAACTCTCTCGTGACAAGATGTTATGGAACTCTCCCCGTATTCTTACTCGAACTTGCCGGCACCAATGGGCGGCTCTGGAGGGTTGAGAAACCAGCTCCGGTACCCGGCGAGGAAATGGGCGGCTGCCGCGGCCCATTGAGCGCGCGTGTGCGCTGGGTGGTGGGCCAGAACGAGGTGGCGGAACGCACTCTCCCGATGTTCAAGGTCCTTCCTGGAGGCATCCCGCAAGGACCTCTCGAGACGCAACGTGACTGCGCGAGCGGCCTCGCCTTCCGGGTGGGCCACTGGTGGGAAGCCTACCGCGTCCAAGAGGTACTGCTTCTCGACGCTCAGTCGGCCTGTTCGCCACGCAGCACGCTGGCAAAGCGACCAAGACCAGAGGGGAAACCCAGTCGAAGCTGTAATGTGGCCAGGGGGGATGTGGGGATCCCCCTTCTGGTCCTCCCTGTGACGCTGGAACTCCTCCAGGCCGCTCTCGAAGTTTCGGTCCATCTCTTCCTGGATGGACAGGCCACCATCCCTCAGCAGCTGCTCTTTCGTTGCGTCCAGGAGCCCCCAGCGCCACTCCATGAGCTGCAGCGCCACCCAACGGCCGACCTCGTGCCCGTGGATGCTGGCGTCTACGGGCACCGCGCGAGCAGTCCCGTCGCCCTCGCCGTGAGCCCGGCGGTACTCCAGGAACCTCCCATACCACACGTCCCACTCGTACGCCGTCTGGTCGATGGCCACATTGACGGCCTGAGCCGCCCAGGCCCGGAACTGCTTCTCGTTGGCCTGCTCGCCGCTGCGCGCGAAAAGGTCTTGCAGGCGGGCGGGAATCTGGTCCCAGCCCAGGCCCGCGGGGGTGCCTGAAGGGCTACCATGGGGGGGGGGCTGGCCCAGTGTGGAAAGCATCGGCCTGGAATCGGCGACGCATCGCCGACAGATCGGCGCTGGGCTCTCAATAACGAAAAATGGAAAAGCCGCACGCTCCTGGGCGGGGGGGGGGCTATCGGGCCCCTGTCGGAGATGAGTGGGCAGGTGGGAGCCGTTGCATTCCTCTCTGAGTCTGTCCCCCCCCATCCGCCCCTAACGTTGCCCTGCCCTGAGTGCCCCCGCGCGCCACGGCCGCCTCCCTCAGGGCGAGCTCCACCTGCTCGTCGTTGGCCGCCAGGGCGGCCCACACGGCCACCGCGGCCGGCGCGCGCCACGGCAGCAGCACGTACAGCGCTGGCTTCTCGTGCGTCCGGAACGCGGCGCGGCCCAGCGCGTGCGCGATGGCGTCCGCGCTGGGGGCGTCCCCGTGGACGAGCAGCGCCTCGGCCTCCGTGCTTCCCAGCGTGGCCTGCCCCTCGCCGCGCCCGGCGGCGTTGGCGCGGGCCGCGCCGAGCACGCACCTGCGGCTGGTGAGGTCCAGCACCTCCTGGCCGAGAGGCGCCACCGCCTCGTCGTCTCCTGGCAGCGCCTCGATCGCTCGCAGGCCGAGCGCGTCGTGCAGCCGCGCCAGCAGCGGCGCCGGCGCCAGCCCCGCCGCCCCGCCGGCGAGGCTCGGCGCCTCGATGTCGAGCGGCACCAGGCGCACGGGCACGGTGATGCCACGCATGCGGGCCTCCGCGGCGTCCACCGTGAACACCTCGGGGCCGCACGGGCCTCCCCTCCTCGACACCACGCGGAACGGGCGGATCCCGGGCATCTCTCTCGTGGCGTTCCCGAGGCCCCTCACCGGTGCCGCTTCCAGAGCGCGCGCGGTGACGAAGAGCGCCTCGATGAGGCCCAGCTGCATGAGCCTGTTCCACTCGAAGACTGCTTCTCTGGCCGACGATCCACTTTGCAGCGCGAGGTGCGCCATCTCGAAAACAGCAAAATCCAGAACCTCCGTCTGCAGACGCCTAAAAGCCATCTTCGCGTAGCGCGCGTTTTCGTAAGAGGTGAGCACCACCAGCCCACGGCAACGGGTCAACGCCGTTGCGACCTGGTCGGAGCCGCGCGGCCCCTCCGCCATGCGCAGCACGACCATGCCATCGCCGCCCGCTTTCCGGTATGCCAGCTCGGCCTCGCTCATCATCGAGGCGGGCATCAGGACGAGGGCGCGGAAGGGTGTTCCGGGGCGCTTGCGGACCTGCCACTTGGCTGCCAGCACGTTGGCGCCGACGATGCCGTCTCCGAGGCCCATCGGCATGTGGACGGTCAGCCTGGCAAGACCCAGGCCGAAGCCTCGGAGGACCCTGTCCGTCGCCTCCTGATGCATGCGCTGCAACGCTGGCGGCATCTGCGACCCTCCGGGAGCCACGGAGGTCGCCGGGCGCGAGCGGACATCGCTCCGAACGTGCTGCGATGGCTCCTGCGGCGCCCAGCCTCCCTCGGGGGCCCCCGCGGGCACCTGCAGCGGCGCGGGCCAGACGCCTCCACGGCCTCCTTCCGGCGAGCCCCCGAGCGAGAAGCGCACCTCTCGGAGTTCCCGTAGAGACGACGGCGGCCCTCGCCCCTTGCCCACGTCCAACTCTCGGTCCCTGGGCCCCTCCTAGCGGCCATCCTGAGCCTCTGGGCTGGGCGCCCGAAATAGGTATGGGGAAGGCGGGTACGATGCCCAACCACAAATCCTGTCCAAAACCGGCAGGGGTAGCTGTTGGGCAGGCGGCCTTCTGTTTCAGATTGACCACGTCCGCGGCGACGCCGACGGCGAGTCCTGCTCAAAGTGATCAGGACATGCTGTTGGTCTTTGTGCCCGTTCTGTTCGTACTCTTTTCGATCGCCCCGATCTGCGGGGGAGGAGGAGGAGGAGGAGGAGGAGGAGGAGGAGGAGGAGGAGGAGGAGGATGAGGAGGAGGAGGAGGAGGAGGAGGAGGAGGAGGAGGAGGAGGAGGAGAGGAGGAGGAGGAGGAGGAGGAGGAGGGGAGGGGGAGGAGGAGGAGGGGGAGGAGGGGGAGGGGAGGAGGAGGGGGAGCAGGAGGGGATGATGATGATGATGATGATATGATGATGATGATGATGATGATGATGATGATGATGATGATGATGCTGCTGATGATGATGATGATGATGATGATGAGGAGGAGGAGGAGGAGGAGGAGGAGGAGGAGGAGCAGGAGCAGGAGGAGGAGGAGGCGGAGAAGGAGGAGGAGGAGGAGGAGGAGGAGGAGCAGGAGGAGGAGGAGGAAGCCAAAAGAGCGGAACACGCCCCAGGGAGGCCAGCCGTTGGTGGCCTCGACCGGCCCTCCTCCGGACCTGGGGCTCTCCGACGGCGGGCGCCCAGAGCGACGACCCCTCGGCGGCCGCCGCGGCGGGCTCCCCGCGCGGTGCCTGGGGGAGGGAAGGTCGGCACCGAGGACAGCACAGCTGAAGGGGCCCAGAGCTTAGCGGGCCCTGGAAACGACAGGGCCGTTTTTTTACCGGTTCCGTTTTACCGTTTTTGTTGCCGGTGCCGACGCCGTTCTTTTACTGGTTCCGTCGCCGTTTTTTGACCGGTTCCGGCTCCGGTTCCAATTCTGGAGCCGTTTTTTTGCCGTTTCCGGTCGCCGTTTTTTTACCGTTTCCATTTTCAAAGGACATTTTTGGGAAACGGTGAAAAACGGCCCTGCCGTTTCTGGGGCCCACCAAGGCCCAGAGACGCGCAAATCAATACACAACTCCCACGATCTCCTTTTTTGTTGGATTCCTAGTTTCTGAATTTTTTCGTCTTCCCCCCCCCACTTCCCATGTTTTCTTATGTTTTCCTGGGAGTCGACGATTCAATGTGTCTTTGTGGTTTCTTCCCTCCTGAACGGCCCATCCCCACCCCCAGCCAGGACCCCCACTGCGGACCTGGTGATTCATGGGTCCTGGCCGAAGGTGGTTTTCTGGTCCCCGCCACCTCCCCCCCCCCCAGAGCCACCCGCACCCCTAGCCAGGACCCCCTGGATCACCAGGTCGGGAGTGGGACATGGCTGGGGGTGGGGATAGGTTGTGCTGTCCTCAGCCATCAACAGAAACTTTGGGAGTGCTGCGCGGATCTCTTGGATCGGCGCTTGGACCTCCCTCCCTGGCGCGCGGATCGCGCCAGGGGCGGCGCTGGAGGCGCCGCCAGAGGGGGGCCAGGCGCAGATCCAAGAAACTCGCGCAGAGCTCCGAAAGTGTACGGTCGGGAGCTGTTGCTTAGCGACCCACGGCGGCGGCCCCGGCGACACGTGATGCCCTGCGAGCTGACAGCGCGTCGCTCCGCTCCGCGGGGCGGGAGGCTGGGAAAGGCTCGGAGCATCGATGCTTGGAAAGGGGAAGATGGATAGCGTGTCGCGCCGAAGCCCGGCGGGGGGTCCAGCACCAGCGGCGCGGCGCGACGCGCGAAGCAAGAGTGCCCGTCCGCACGTCGATGCCGACTTCTTGATGGGCCCGCTTTCCACCACCACCACCATAAGTTGGAGGGGGAGGGGGTCCTCCTCCTCCTCCTCCTCCTCCTCCTCTTCGTTCTCCTCCTCTTCGTCCTCCTCCTCTTCATCCTCCTCGTCCTCCTTCCCTCCTCCAACTTGTGGTGGTGGTGGTGGCAGAAAACAGGCTCATCACTTCTCCTCTTCGAGTGCCGGCGCGGTGCTGCTCAAGGCGCCGCCCGCGGAGGCCCCGCTGGGCCGCGCCGCGCGGGCGGCGACGGCGCTGCTCCCGTGGCTGCTCCGGGCGGGCCGCGGCCGCGGCCGCAGCGACCACGCCGGGCCCCCGGCTCGGAGCGCCAGGGCCGCGCCGGCCGCCGCGGCCAGCGCGCCCCGGGCGCAGGGGCGGCCGCGGCAGCGGGCCATGGCCGCGGCCGGCACAGGCCGCGCTCGCCACTGCGGGCCGCGAGCCGGGGCTTCGAGAGAAGATGCCACCGACCCCAGGCGTGCTCGCGTCGACACGACACGACGACGACAACGTGACAACCCAGAGCTCGAGAAAATCCGGCCGCTTTCGGCCTCAGGGGGGCCCTCGCCGAGCCTGGGGACCGTAACAAAAACAAGGCTCGGGATGAACAGCCAGCCCTTGGGAAAGGGTCGGGACTTCCGGGGACTCCGCGTTGGACAAATCGAGACGTCGCATGCCTGGGAGCATCTGACGAGCCTCACGAGAAATGCAGACCAGCCGTCTTGCCTAAGAGGCACCCACGAGCGCCCCGAGATGGCCCAATATTGCCCCAAGACGACCCAAGAGGCCGCCCCCAAGACGGCCCAATAGAGCTCCAAGAGGGGCCCAAGAGAGGCCCCAGAGGGGGAGCACGAACCTAAATTTCGAGCCCTTCGTCCCAAGATGGCCCCCGAGACCGCCAGCAGGCCCCCAAGAGGCCCAAATCAGGCCCCAAGAGGCCGCCAAGATGCTCCCGAGAGGCCTCCCACGAGACCTCCAGAGGTATACCACAGGCCTATGACGTATAACCCAGGCGCGGTGGCGGGATGGGACGAGGCCTATCCATATCTATTTATTTATTTATTTATTGGTATATATATAGATGTACGAGACTGCATTGGCGTTTCGCGCCATGCACCTTGGTCCTTGAAGTCTGGCATGCGGGCGGAATGGCAAGACAATCCAACAAACAATTTAGCGATAACTCCTTGATGCCTTTAGCAATTTAGCGATACTTTCTGGTATCGCCGTTGCAATAATGTTATTCGTTATCATTCCGCCATATACAGATTTTTTCATTCTCGCCCTACCCTGCGAAATCTTCCCCATCCTCCTCAGCTCTTTTTGCGGAGGCTCCTGCTTGGAGAGCTTCTCGGGGCCTCACGGAAATTGGAGGCTTCCTGGGCGTCTTCCGGGGTCCTCTGGGGGCTTCCTCGGGCCACCTTGCCTCCGACCCCGGTCTCTCTGAACGACCGGGTCACGATTTGGAATGCTTCGGAGGGTGTCTTGGGGCCATCTTGGGCCGTCATGGGGCTCTCTTAGGCCATCCTGGAACCCTTTTGTGCCGTCGTGGGGCTCTCTTGGACTGCCTGGAAGCTCCTTCGGATGGTTTCGGGACGATTTCCGAGCCTCCCAGGCGGTCTCGGACGCCCAGAAGACCGAAGAACATGGCATTCCCAAAATCATGCGAAACTTGGGGGTCTTCTTTGGGTCGTCTTCGGGCGTCTGGTGGGTGTCTGGGCCCTCTTGGGGCCCTCGGGGGGGCGTTCGGCCGCCCTTCTGACCGATTTGGGCCCGTTGCCTAGGCCCAGCAAGGGCTTCCAGGAGCTCTGAAACGCATGGGGTGTCTCCTGCAGGGGGGTCCCTGGGGCTACGGATCTGAGGGGTCCAGGGGGTCCTGGGGGCCCGGGATTCGGTGGGTCCGATCTCGGGGGGGGGCGGGGCCTGGGTAATAAAAAAGATGGATGGGCATCTGTAGAGAGGGAAAGCGAGAGAGGGAGAGAAAGAGAGAGAGAGAGGGAGAGAGAGGGAGAGGGAGAGAGAGAGAGAGATAGCAATAAAGAAAAAACGAGAGAGAGAGAGAGAGAGAGGGAGAGGGAGAGAGTCAGAGAGAGAGAGAGAGAAACAGAGAAAGAGAGAGAGAGAGAGAGAAAGACAGAGATAGAGAAAGAGAGATAAAAGGGATACACACACATATAGATACACATATAATTACATACACATACAAATGTGTAAAGAGAGGGAAACAAAAAAAGGAAAGACAGACAGCGAGAGGGAGAGGGAAAGAAGCGAGAGAGAGAGAGAGAGAGCGAGAGAGAGAGAGAGCGATAACGATACATATATATATATATCCTTTATGCCAAGACCAGAGAAACTGGAATCATATCGAGATGCTACCTAGAAGCATCGCCTGCCTAAAAACTGGGCCCGAGCGAAACTGTCACGATGAGACGTACACAGACGGCGAGGGCCCACAACCCAGATGGAAGTGGAGGAGGAGAGGAGGCAAGAGGACCCTGAAAAACTTGAGCCGTGGGATTGCGGAACGGAAAACAGGCCCACGGCGACACACGTATGAGACGGCCCAGGCACCAGGAGTACCCCATCCTTCAAGCACTCCTTTATGCCAAGACCAGAGAAACTGGAATCATATCGAGATGCTACCTAGAAGCATCGCCTGCCTAAAGACTGGGCCCGAGCGAAACTGTCACGATGAGACATACACAGACGGCGAGGGCCCACAACCCGTCCCCAGTACCAGAAGCTGTTCTAATGAGGGAGAGGAGGGAGGGAGGCGACGACAGAGGAGGAGATAGCAATACAGAGAGAAGTGGGATATGGCTCCGCCCGCCTGGTCCAGAAAACACCTGAGGCGTCTTTGCCTTCGAGGGCCTGGTGGCGGTGGCCAGTGCGTCGACACACTCTCCCCGTGCATCGGCGCTCCCACGATTCCAGACCCGGGAGAGTGCCAACAAAACGAGTGCACTTTCTCCAGGGCGTCCCATAAATGCAATAATCTAGCACAACGGCGGACGCTTTCCTCTCAATAATCTGTATCTCATCTAAAAGCCACAGGCGGGAGGTCCGAGGATTCTCCATGACCCATGGAACGTGACATTTGTTGCATTCACGAGCTAGGCTACACACAACACGCACTAACCTGTTGGCGTTCGACACACGCGCACGCTGCTTTGCATCGAGGTTGGGCAAACCATGCAGATAAGTGTTTGAGCGGAGAGGGCGCGGCCCATTAGGACGATCAGTGGCACGTGAGAAGGTGTTGCACGGCACACCGAACCACATGAAACAAAAAGAGCCAGCACGAATTTTGTCACGAAGAAGCCTCACGACGCCTGGCCGCAACAGATCAGCACCGGGGCCATCGGCGACGTCGTAGGCGGGGACTCCGCTCCGAGCGAGAGCGCGGGCGAGCTGCCCTGAGCCGGAGAAAATCTCGGCGGCAACTCGGCGCTTCAGGCACGGGGCGGCTTGGCCACTTGGGACGGCCGTCCAAGGAGCGCTCCCGCGATGGAGGACTCGACAGCCGCGGCGAAGTCGAGCAGCTCCTTCGGGCTGCTGGCCAGCGCCCTCTGCATCACTCCGTGCCTCTCGTACCTCTTCACCGAAGAGAGGGTGGCCCACCTGCCGCGCTTCATGATGTCGGGAAGCGTGCGGCGCCCGAGAAGGGCGTCTCGGCTCGGGCCGCTGCGGCGCAGCTGGTAGCTCGTGAGGTTCCGCTTGTCGAGCCCGAGGTCGAGGCACGCCCGATCGAAGTCCTTCCTGAAGGCAGCGGGCTTCGTGACGAACAAGGGCTCGTGCGGGGCCCGCTGGGCCTTCAAAAGCCCCAGTATCTTGCTGGTCGGAAAGTCCCAGTCCGACAGGGTGACCGTGTCGTCCAGCACGCCCGTCTTGGTGGGGGCCCCGGCGCTCGAGGAGCCGAGGATGAGCACGCCGCGCTCGTGGCCGCGATGGTCTCCGACCGGTGGGGCGAAGTCCTCGGCCCGGAGCCGCGTCGCCTCGCCAGTGCGCAGGTGCGCATCGTGCATCGCCACCACCCGGCGGGCGCTCTCCAGCATCCCGCGCCAGAGCATCGCCGCGATGATCGCGACGACCCACGCGCGCGGCAGCCCGAAGCGGCAGGCCACGGGGGCGGCCTCCCGAAAGCCGCGGAGGGCGCGGGCCGCGCGCGGCAGGCCGCCTAGCCCCGCTCTGGAGAAGCGCGGGATGCCGAGCTTCACCGCCGCGAGCAGCTTCTCGCCCTGGTCGACCTGCCACCCATCCAAGTACAACGGGTCCATCAGCTGCACCAAAGCCTCGTCCACGTCCTCGTCCTTGTGGAGGTCGAACCCGTGGTCGACCACTTAAGTCCAAGAACTCCCTGAACTTCTGGAGATAGTAAGGGATCGACTGCTTGCCGACGGACTTCATCTCGAGGAGGCTCACCATGATCCCCTTCAGCTCGAGCTCCTCCTGCATCTCGCGGTCCCCCGCCTCGACGGCCGCTCGGCGGGTCCTCGCCCGCGCCCGCCGCGCCAGGATCTGCAGCTTGCGGCTCCGATCGGCGTTGGCGGGCAGCGTCCGCGCTGAGGCGGCCCCCGCCAGGCGGCGGTGCGTCGGAGGCGGCGACCCCTGGCTGCCGTCGCGGGGGGCGGAGCACGCCTGGCGATGCGGCGCCTGCAGCACCCGTGAGACCCGCGGCCCCTTGACTGGGCGGCTGCCGGCGGGCCCCTGTGGGAGACCAGCAGATGCCTCGCCATGGGGCCGCTTGGCCTGCGTAGGCGGCAGCAGTCGTCTCATCGCCCCCGCGAGCTGCCGCGGGTGGCCCCAAGCCCGAGCCCCGAAGAAGCTTGAGGCGGGCCAGGCCTCGCTCGCGGCAGCGGTGATCCTCAGTAAGATAACGACGAGAGGCGGCATCAACAACATTGATCTCTGAAGGAACCCAACGCCATCGAATTGTCATGTCCACTGCAACCGTGAACGCGGCATTTTTCCTGCAAAGCATCAGCAAGCCGAAGTTGTCCGCACGTCCCTTGGCAAAAGCAAGGATCATGCCCAGATTGTCGCCTATCTTGAGATGCCGCTTGCCTCGATTGGACAGCGACCGGCAGGTGCGCCGCGCAGATATCATACCCGTGCGCCCCTCAAGCATAGTGATATGCTCCTCGTCTCTCCAGCGGCCAGCCACGCACTCGCGCCAGTCAAAATCCTGGAAGATGGACGCCGGGACCTCAGGGAAGTCCTGCGCGGGCTGCCACCGTCGCCGAGACCAGTCGCGAGGGACAACGGACTCAACGTTGCTGAAGCACTCCTCGACAGGAGGGGCCGCCCGGAGGTCGTGCTCACGAGGCCCGCCAGGTTGCTCGCACTGGAAGGCGCAACGCCGCCTCTCATCGACCTTCCCGATCTCCGAGACCACCTCCTCTGGCAGGGCCGCCGTCATGATCCCGCAGCCGGCAGGACTGGCGTCGAACGCCTCCACCTCCGAAGCCCAGGGCCGCCGCATGTTGGCCCGTGCAAAGGGCAGCAGAGCAGCGGCAGCACGGAGCTCCTCGGCGGCGGTCCGCCAGAGCCGTCGCGGTCGGAGGTAGTGGCACTGCGCGAAGGTGTAGCAACTGCGGAAGATAGAGAGTAGCGGCCGATGTCCCAAAAACTGGAAGGTAGCATGTCCCAAGAGCCGCTCCAGCTGCCGACCGCTAAGCCAGGGCCGCTGGCGGCTCACGCTCCCCAGTGAGTCCGTCGATGGCGAACCCCAAGGACTCGGCCCAGTGGCGGGCAGCCTCCTCCTCGTGGACCTCGAAACCGAGCGAGGTCATCCGGCGCTTACAATCTTCTCGGAGATCGTCGGCCTGTGCGAGAGAGGAGGCAGCCGCAACGAAGTTGTCGCAGTAGGGCAGAGCCAGCTCGGTCCCCGTCCTGAACGGAGGCGGAGGGGCGCGATCCTGCGTGACCGCGCCGGGCGACCAGGGCCTGATCTGGTGGACCTGGTGAGCGTGCAGGACCTGCGCGAAGAAGAAACTCCAAGTCCACCCCATCGGCATCGCCTTCATAGCGGGGGCGACCGCCGTGGAGCCCCACAAGTACCCAAAGGCGGGGTCACCCTGGGTGACCGCCTTCAGCTCCTCCCCAGTGATGTCGGGGAGGCAAAAGAAGCTCTCGAGGCCCGGCGGCAGACCGCAGGCGTAAAAGTAGTCCTTCACGTCACTAAGCGAGAGATGCATGTCAGTGTCCGTGTCCATCACGACGTCGGCCCAGGACGATCCCGAACCCATCGGCGCGTGGGGGCACTCTCGGAAGCGGGCGTTGACGCGTCTGCAGTCGACGACGAGGCGCTGCTTGCCCGACTTCTTTCGTACAAAAAATACCGAGATCCTACCTCGAACTTGGTCGGCCCGTCGCCAGGCGAGAAGCCCGCCTCTGAACAGGTCCCCGATGAAGTTGAGATAACTGCGGCGGCTGAAGCGGAGCCGCGGGTCCATGTAATAACCGATGTGCTCGAGACCACGCTCCACCTCCGCTCCCCACTGGTTGTCGTCCTTGAGCAGGTCGGTGTCGAAATCTACGATCATCTTTGCGGCGTCCGGCGGCAACACCTCGGCGAGGGGCGCGGGAACTCGCCCGTCACCGGGGATAGACACCAGAGCACGGTCGTAGGGAACCACTGTCAAGTCATCGTCCCCGTCATAAGGGACTCTGCTGCCGAGAAGCGCACGCGTGGCTTCCTCGTCTGAAACCGCCTGAGGTGGCGGCCGAAAAGAATTGATGGTCTCGTACAGGTGGTCAACGGCGGCCCGCTGCCCAAGAGAAGAAAACTTGGCATTGGCGGCGGAAGAACCCACGAGCCAGTTGAGGGCCCAAATGCTCTCATTCACCTCGTCCGTGAGCCGACGTCGTCCTTGGACTCGCTGCCGAACTCCTCGGGGGAGGTGGGGGCCAGCGACCGGCTCCTGAGGTGCATGCGGTAGGGGAAGAAGCTCCCGCGGGACGTCGCGCTCCTCAGCGACGACTCCAGCGAGAAAGCCCAGCCGCGTGGCCGGGAACGCCCTAGATCTCGGCCCCACCCTCGGGCCGCGGGAGGGGCCATCGCCGTTCATCATGAATGGTCGCCGCCCTGGCCCTCCTTCTTGGGGCCTTTGGGCGGCTTCCTCAAACGAAGCTCCTCATTGTGCTTGCGCAACTCCTTATGCACAGACGCCTTGTCACGAGCCTTCTCGGCCACGTGCTTGACCAAAGTTGGGGCGACCAGGGCCCTGCCACGGCCCGGGCCCCAGCCCGTGAAGTCGTCGGCCCCGGTGTAGTCGGGGCTGCCAGGAGAGTCGAGGTGCGCCTGCTCGATCAGCATGGCGCGCCTCCCGAGCGCCTCCAGAGAGACTGGCGTGGGGATGTTGAGCTGGTCGACCTCGGCCGCCAACTCGAGAACCTTCATGATGCAGAAGTCCTCGTGCACCGAGCGGTCGCCACCTGAGTTCAACTGGTGGGCCCAGTTGTAGTGGCGCTGGACGGGACCACCCTCTCCACTTCGAGCGATCTCCTCCAAGTACCAGAGAATTGAAGCCTCCCCCTCTAGAGGGGAGTCGCCGTAGTCGTGATGCTGCATCAGGTCGACGGCCTCCACAAAGCGACGGCGGCGGGCGTTGTTCCGCCACACCACTGGGAGGGTCCGGGTGTCGGCGTCCTCGTCGATCGAGTCGGCGGTGGCGGAGTAGCACTGCAGGACCCCCCCAGGAGTAACCACCATCATGGCGTCAGCATCGCCCTTCTTCACGAGAGTGAACTGATGGCCCTCCACTCCGGACGGATACTCGGCGCCACGACTGAAAGACTGATCTGATGAAAAGGCTATCCGCCAGATCTTCCCACTCGCGGCGGGAGGAGGCGACTTCGACACGAGAGCGTCCCCATGGCCACCTTCCTTACGCTCCTCCTCGTCGGCCACAGCCTTGGCACGGAGAAAGAGAGGCACATCGAGGAGGCCTTCCCGCCGACCTGCCCCGAAGCCATATCGAGACACCGCGTCGGGGCCTCGCCCAAACATCGTTCCAGTCACCTCGCCTCCGGCATCAAGCAGCCGAAGGGCCTGCAGGTCCCCGGGCATGGAGAGATCCTGCGGGTACACGTCGCCGTCCACTGTCAGAATCCACCAGAGCCAACTGTTCACTGGAGGGTCCTCGCCGTGGATCCTCCTGTAGCACGTCTCGGAGCTCTTGCGGAGGATGCTCGCCTCGTGCCAGAGGTTCGGCTCGTCCCCGTACAGAAGGAGAACCTTCTGCCCAACGTGCAGACCAGGCTTGGCGACACCAGCGACAGCCATTGAGAACAAAGACGAGAGAGGACCAGATAAGACCTGCCACCACGTGCGCATAAAAGGCCAGGCTCCCCAGGACGGCCGTCACCACCTCAACGTGCCAGGGCACGCCCGACTGCAGCGCCTCTGCGCGCCAAGCGGCCAGCCGCTCGCGCTCACGCCGCTGCTCGTGGAGCTCCGCCAAGACCTCGCTGAGGTCGGGGCAGATCGCAGGGCAGCTGATGTTCCAGCGCGGCGCCGGAGCAGGGGCGGCGCAGCTCGCCGCCAGGGGAGCGCCACTCGGCGCGCCAAGCCAGACACGGAGGGGCGATGGGGCCAACCAGGCTCCTGTGAGGGCCGCCAGAAGGACCCGTCCGAGTCCCTGCGGAGGCATTTCACCCTGAAAAACTTGAGCCGTGGGATTGCGGAACGGAAAACAGGCCCACGGCGACACACGTATGAGACGGCCCAGGCACCAGGAGTACCCCATCCTTCAAGCACTATATATACATAGAGAGGAGGAAGGAACGTTAGGAGGGGGATACAGATGAGGAGGAACAGAGGGATGAGGGCGACTCGCTCGAGTTTACTTTGAGGGCATGCCAGGCGAGAGGCTGGCAGGAACTGCACAGTGCAAGCGCTTGCTGCTGAGAGCATATACTCTGCTCTATGGCGGTCGCTTACCCTCACACGCTGGCCATGCCCAGATTCTTCCACTTATTCTGCTTTGACTTTGTCAACTTCAAAACAACCTTCTTGCTCATCGTGGATATGTTCCCGTCCCTGATTTTGATATCCAGAGAACAGTCCTCGGGCACAATCTCCCCAGAGAGGGGAGACACGACAAGCTTCCACAAATACAGATCGTTTGCGCCGTAGGACCCGGGCGCCACGATGCGGACCTCCAGGCGCTGCTTGCCGAAGCGGGCCTGCACGTGATCTCCCGTGATGGTCTCGGCGGCCCCAAAATACAGGTGCGGATTCAGGTCGATGTGGACCCGGGCGGTCATCGCCTCGTCCTCGAAGTCGAACCTGACGATCGGTCTCTGCAGGAACGTGTCCGCCAGCCGCTCGGACCCCCTGACGACCATCTGCGCAACCGGGTTGATGGAGCGGTAGACCTGCTCCCACACCGCCTGCGGGGCCTTCTGGAACAGTGTGAACACGTCCTTGCGCCTGCATGGGAGGCGAGCGCGCTCCACCACTCGCAGAGTGACTACTTGCAGATGGCCTGGATCTGCCGGGGGGGGGATCCGCGAGAAATTGCATCGAAGCAGACGCGTGCTTTCCGGACGTTTGCGAGCAGGCACTTTGCGAGTAGCAGAACGCGCCCGGTGACGCATGGGAAACGTGAGACCGTCCTCCACGCCTGGGGAACGGACGGGCATAACATCATACAACATACTTGTGGGAAAAGGGATGGGTGGGAGGCCTACACATTCACACGACTGCTTGCCGTGATCGGGGTCCCCTCCACAGAGGGGGAGAATGACCTCCGACCTTGGCCACTGGTGGGGCGAAGGGTCCCGTGATCTTGGAGGCAGTGCCAACCTGACCATGGACCCCTGACGGAGAGGGGGAAAGGGCATGAGGGGCATGCGCCAGATCCCCGCCCTGACGACGCGGGCGTTGCTTCTGAGGGCTCGTGACCCCTTCGGTCTGGAGCGATCTCCCCTGCCGGAGGCCCCCAGAAGCTCTTGACCGCCCCCCCCCGTGTGGGTTTCGCGCCCTGCACTGCGGCCGCGCCCCTCGTGTGGGGCTCTCGCGCCTTGCAATGCTCTCGGTGGCTCCGGGGCTCGGCTGGGCCCCCCCTCAGAGACTGCCCCACCCGGAACGCCCGCACCGACGCCGCCGCACGCACCGGGGCGGTGCGCATCGGCTGCGGGCCGACACGGGCTGCATGAGC